CAGCTGATTTTTTTTTTTTTGTAGAGATGGGGGTCTCACTACTGCCTGGGCTGGTCTTGGGCTTTTGACCTCAAGCGATGATGCCCCCACTTCCCAAAGTGCTAGGATTACATGCATGAGCCACCGCACCCAGCCCTCACAGTATATAGATTTAATCAGCTAATTTTTCATTTAGAAATTTTTTTCAGCTCATGTAGGAAATTGGCTTGGTTTTTGTTGCTACTCTTGTCTGGTTTTTTTTTTTCGTATTTTATTAGCTTTAAGGTGAATTAGAGAAGTTTTCGTCTTTTTAAAGCCTTCAGTAGGCTGGATGCAGTGGCTCATGCCTGTAATCCTAGCACTGTGGGAGGCTGAGGCAGGAGGATTGCTTGAAGTCAGGAGTTTTGACCCCCTCTCTACTAAAAATAGAAAAATTAGCCGGACATTGTGGCGTGTGCCTGTAGTCCCAGCTACTCGGGAGGCTGAGGCAGGAGGATCACTTCAGCCCAGGAGTTTGAGGTTGCTGTGAGCTAGGCTGATGGCCAGGGCAATTTACTCGGCAATGGAGTAAGACTCTGTCTCAAAAAACAAAATACAATTAAAGCCTTAAATAATTTCAAATCCTCATTCATTCATTGGAAACTGGCTAAATTAAACTGTAAAGTCATTCGGCTTGAAGCTATTTAAAATGGTAGATATTCCATGGTCTTTTAGTCTCTTAGGAATTTCTTTTTTTCCCCTATAACTAATTGTTCTTTTAGGGATTTTCCTGTTCTAGATTTTTTAGAGTTATAGCTATAGAGGTATGTGATACAATTTCTTCTGAATGTAGAGTTATGTTTTCTTTCTCATTCTAATGTTGAATACTTTTATTTTCTAATCAAGCTTGCCCAGGGGGTTCTTTTATTGGTCTTTTGAAAGAACTAGTTTTGGGGTGTTATCATTTCTACGACTTTTATTTTGTGGTTTTAGCTTTTACATTATTTCTCATCATCTGCTTTTTCTTTTATTTTCTGGTTTGTTAAATACTTTCTATATTTTAATCATGAAAGCATTTATAGTATACCTTTTCCACTGAGATAACTTGTTTCTAAAGTCCTTAGTTTGAAGGTAGATGTCAGATGTCTTGATGTTAGTGATTTTTAACTTCATTAAAGATGTGGCCTATAAAAAGGCACCTTTTTGTTTTGTTTTTTTGTCTCAAAAAACAAAAGGTTACAGGCGTGTGCCACCACACTGTCCCCAAGAAGGCACCTTTTGAAACTGTTAATGTTTTCTTTGTGGCTAATACTTGATTGACTTCTGTAAATATTCCATAGACATGGAAAAGGATTTTATTTCCGTATAGGGGACAAAGTTCTATCAATTTATATAGGTGAATATGAATATATAGAGAGAGACAAAAGGGGTTTTTTTTTAGTTATTATTTTTTTACTGAAAGCAAGCCCTCATCGCAAGGGGTGTTTTTTAATGTGTGTGTGTACATGTGCATATATCCCCTTTATTTCGAGAGCCATTTGAAAGTAAATTTCAGGCCCAGTGCTGTGGCTCACACATGTAATCCTAGCATTTACGGAAGCCGAGGCGGGAGGATTGCTTGAGGGGGAGTTTGAGTAAGAGTGAAACGGTCTCTACTAAAAAATACGCCTGTATTCCCAGCTACTCACTGGGGATGGCATGATGGTAGTTTTTAATTCTATCATCCCTTATATATTTATTATTGGACTTTCTAAAGAATAACTGCCTGCCCACACTCACCCTTTTTTGTTTTGTTTTACTGTGGATTCAGTGGATTTTTTAAAAAAAATTCCATGTCTTATGACCCATTATGGTGGTGGTTCTCAAACCGTTGTCCCCCATCAGCAACAGCTACTTTACCTGGGAACTTGCTAGAAATATGCAAATCAGAATCCTAGACACACCCAGAAATCTGTTTTAACCAGCCCTCCCTGTAATTCTGGTGCATTCTCAGGTTGGAGAACCTTTGTATTATTTTGTCCCAAGTTTGGCCAGTGGACACCTGATAGGCAACTAACTGCTTAAAAGGATGGTATGATTGGGAGATAGTGGAAGGCATCCGCAATGAGTGATAAAGTGAAAAAGTTAAGAGAACAATGGGATCACTTCTTTATAAAACAATGAGAGGAAACTTGTTCCGAGTTTGGGTGTAGGAGTAACGAACTTAACGTCTTATTATGTATCCTGTGCCTTTTGAACTTTTACCAGGAGCTATAGTACTTTGATAATAGATGGGAGGAAAACAGCACTATATGATCAAATTTAACCAGCGGGGAAACATTAGCAGTAAAAGAATTCTCGGCTCTGGTTCAAAGAGGTTCGAGCTGCTGTGCCTGCTGTACTTATGTCGCAAGGTCACAGTGACCTTTACGCCACCGACTATAATGAAAAACTACAAATAAATCAGGCACTTATTTGTCCTGCATTTTTTCCATTTCCCCCGCTCATTGCACAGCTAAGAAAGTTCAATGGCAAGCTGCCAAATCACAAAGCAGACACCTGGAGGCACGAATACATATGAATGGTGCCAATTATACTGCTAGCAGAATGAAGTACCAGGGCAAGAAACTGAAAGTACGTGAATGTTGCCACGCTGTAAGTGTGGGGTTCAAGTGTCTGCACTGCCTTGTATTTTGGGGGGCTGTGGGTAGCCCTGAACTTGAGCTATTCGTTTCTTCGCTAAGCGAGTAGTATGGACTACATGGGTTCATACCAAAAGTTTAAGTAACCCTCCAATCATTGTCTTTACCAGCCTGCTAGGCACACTCATTTTCCAAGGCCACGGACGGGAAGGGGGTGCCAAGGTGGATCGACAAACAGCTGTCCCAGCGCTCCAGTGTCCCAGCGCCTAGGCTGAATGACCATTTAGATCTGGAGTTTTCCCGTCCAGGCTGCTGTTCCTGGGAGCCGGGCATTGATTGTCCCAAACGTCCACAGCCCAGCCCCTAGCTAAAGCACTCGGTAACTGACATTTAATGAAAGTTCTCCGAATTTTTCACTAGTCTGTAATGATTTTAACCCGTAGAGCCAGGACAAATGATTAGTGCTGTAACCCTGACAGACGAAGAACGGGGCGGAAGGGGTGGGGCCCTGGGCGGAAGGGGCGGAGCCCTTGGGCACGCCCTGGGCGTCAATTTAGCGGCGGGAAAGCGGACTGCTTCTGAGCCGCCTCTGACTTCTCTGAGTGGTGTAGCTCTTCGCCCGAGCCCGCGATGGATAAGCAGCCCGAGGAAGAAGGCGTCCCCGAGCCCGCGGACTCCGCAGGGGCAGGCGAGGCAGGCGAGGCAGGTGGGCCGCCCCAGGTCGCCGGCGCCCAGGAGGCGCGCCCCGAGGACCGCATGACCCTGCTGCTCAGGTTGTTTCCTCTGGCCGCCGCGGCAGGAGCAAGTGGGCGTGGCGACCCTGAGTCCCGCCGTTTGCTCGGGAATGCTTGAGTTGGAGATCGGACTCGATCACTTATTGGCTCCCTGACTGAATCATTGACTTAAACTCCCTAAGCCCCTTTTTCGTCTGCGAAAAAGGAGAGACAAATGACACCCTCCTGGCAGAGACGCTGTGCGGGTTAAATGAGGCACTCTAGGAAAATGCCGGGGGACCTTAGGAAGTCCTTGGGAGCGGTAATTTTCCCTCCCATTCTTTCCCCCTCACGCCCTGGGCTCTGGTTTTCAGGCGGGAAGAGCAGAGCCTCCAAGTCGGAGCTACTGCGGGGAGGCTGTCCCGCCCTTTCTTTTACCGCTATCACCCATTGTAATCCAGAAGCTTCCCTTGTGATATATTCCACTACGGGGACATTGTTTATGCTTTTCTACTAATCAGTTGCTAGGGAAGATTTGATGAGAAGAGACATCAGTCTTATAAACCAGTGAGCAAACTAAGGCCGTGGACCAAATCTGTCCTACCACGAACGCTAAGAATAGATTTGTTTGTTTAAATGGAGGGGGGGAGAGCATAAGAATATTCCATAACACATGAAAACTATATGAAATTCAAATTTAATTGCCTCCAAAGTTTTATTGGGACACAACTTTCCTGCTACAGGGCGAAGTTCAGTAGTTACATTAACTGCCATGTTGAGTTGTATTTAACTCATGCTCGTTTTGAGCCCGGGGCCTCTAGAAGCATATGTAACTCACATGTCTCTTACCTTGGTAGCCGTGTGGTGCACAGGTAACTTGCTGCCCTGCTGTAGCATACATGTTACGTGATGGGTGGCCCCCTGGGCAAAACTGTGTGGTTGGTTCCTGAAACTCTTACTTGTTGATGTTCTTATAGTTACAATTAATACTGAAAATTTAATCGCATACAACTCATGCACAGAAAACAATAAAAAATTAGAAAAAATTGTTTTGTTTTTGAAATTTTTATTCTATTTTCATAATAAAACACCGTGGCTCAAGGAAAATTTTTTTTTCTAGTGTGGCAGTCAATATGTTAAAACAGAGACCATATGACTCACAAAGCCTAAAAAATTTGGTCTCTGGTCTTTTATAGAAAAAAGTTTGCAAACCTCTGTTCTAAATCATCACAAGATTCTTTCTGTGGTTCTTCAGCAAAAAAAAAGAGAAATCATCACAAGAGGATCTTTTTTTTAAGACTTGGGACTGTTGGCCTTGGCCAATAATAAACCTCACAACCTCACTTTAAAAATTCCTTTCTGCCTACAATATAAAATATTTAAATAGGAAAGGCATAGATCTTTTCCATTGCAGCTAAAAAGGAACTATTCTTTCAGCATGTTTTATAGAATGGTAACCTACTTAATCTCTAAGAAACTACTGTTTTCATTTGGGATTTTGAAACATAAGGAACTTGCCATGAAGTTTTAGAAATTTGCCTAATGTTTCTTAGCTGCTTAAATAGATCCTCAGAGTCACAAGGCAAACAATTTCAGAATTATGAAACTATCATGCAAATGTGAAATAATTTGTAAATACAACTTAATGCACAACTAAGAAACTATATGAATTCCTGATCTATCCAAGGATTAGTATCTTTATTATTTTTCTGTATCTCCTGATACAATCTGTGTTGTGTTTTGTTTGAGACATAGTCTCACTGTTGCTGGGGCTAGAGGTCAGTGGGATCATCATAGCTCACTGAAACCGTGAACTCCTGGGTCCAAACTGTCATCCTGCCTTAGCCTCCCAAGTAGCTAGAACTACAGACAGGTACTGCCATGCCTGACCGCAGTCTGTGTTTGTAACTAATTACAGTGTTTTGGGGTTGAATTATTTTGGTATAGACCAAAATCTTTGTACAGCAGCCCCATTTCAGTCTAGCCTATTAAGAACAAATTTAAAAACCAATTTTTTTTTTTTTTTTTAAGACAGAATCTCGCTCTGTTGCCCGTGCCAGAGTGCCGTTGGCATCAGCCTAGCTCACAGCAACCTCAAACTTCTGGGCTCAAGCAATCTTTCTGCTTCAGCCTCCCGAGTAGCTGGGACTATAGACACATGCCACCATGCCCTGCTAATTTTTTCTATATATTTTTAGTTGTCCAACTAATTTCTTTGTATTTTTAGTAGAGACGGGGTCTCACTCTTGCTCAGACTGATCTCGAACTCCGGAGCTCAAAGATCCACCCACGTCGGCCTCCCAAAGTGCTAGGATTACAGGTGTGAGCTACCGCGCCTGGCCTAAAAACCAATTTTTAACTTTTCCTCATAGATGCAGTTTTCCCACTGAATTTCATCTTGTGTCTCCTCTGAGGCCTCAAAGTTCTTTATGCCCATTTTAAATAAAATGAGGTGAAACTTGAAGACTTTAATGCTGAGGTTATTATTTATACTCATTTTGTTGTATCAGCTTCTGAAAAACATGAGTTGGTTTGTCAATAAATATGGTAATGAGTAAAACCTCAATGGATAAATATATGACTTTCTATTTGTCTGTTTTCAGGTTGAGAGCACAAACAAAACAACAACTCTTAGAATATAAATCGATGGTTGATACAAGTGAGTATTTTCATTTTCAAGTAAGGTTTTGTGAGTAATGAATAGTGTTTTAGGGAAAAGAAAATCAATTTTACCAAAAAATGTTTATATACATTCTAGTGTAGCAAAATAGGTAAAGAAAGAAACATGTAGATAATTATGAAGTATGGTAAGTGTGATGAAGGAAATAATGGTGTGATAAGAGGGAGGTGCTCCTTTAGATGGGGACAGCGTCTCTGAGAAGATATCTTAGAGTTAAGATCCAAGTGCAAAGAAAGAATTTGCCTTCTCATACAGACTTTGTTTTCCCTGTATAGATAATTCCATTTTTAAGGAATTCTGACATCTGAAAACTTGGGTAGAATACTTTTATAATAGTTCACACTGTAGAATCTCTATACCTAAAGGAGAGGACAGATTTAAAGCAGGCCACAGGGAGTTTAGTTGTAGTTTTTGGAAGAAGGTATTTATCTAAAATTGATTCTTCTACCATTTTTTAAAAAAATATTACTGAGACTTCATTGGTCAAAGGATTTTTTTTTTTTTTTTTAACAATAAAGGTATCTATTTTAAGGGAGTTTAGTTGTAGTTTTTGGAAGAAGGTATTTATCTAAAATTGATTCTTCTACCATTTTTTAAAAAAATATTACTGAGACTTCATTGGTCA